CCCCAAAACCCCAAAACCCCTAATGTAAAAATACTCCAAAATTATGGTTTTACCATAAAATTAAATATTCATTTAAATTCTAACCGTTTAAGTTGAATTTAACTTATAGTTTTAATATTATAATTTATTACCAAAAGCCTCTTAAACAATGTCAACTGGAGTAAATCATCAAAGATTCACTGGGATTAACATTCATGAAATCCATTTATTGCTAAGTGAGCAAGAACCTACAAATATCTTGCAATTTATCCTTAGCCAAGAAATCGAATAAATGGTAAAATAAATCCCCAGGTAGATTGTTGTATAGGAGAAGGAGAAGTATTTGCACGACTAAATAAAGATTGATATTAGTGACACAAAACCAGAATTTAGAAATATTATCATACAAAACTTTATCTGCTCTATTTGTCACACAGTCTTTATCGACCCAGTTGAATGTGATAATTGCTCTTAGATATACTGCACTCACTGTATCACCACCTGGTAAATGAAGAAAGATATGTGTCCAATCTGCTCTCATCAACCCATTAATCTTATCAAAATGAATCCTAAAATGATGAGTGTCATTGAGCAGATTGAGTTTTCATGTTCTGAGTGTAACAAGTGTTGCAATTTGAAAAAATCATAAAAACTTGCGTATAATCTTCTTGCTAGCAACATAAACTGTGAATAAAGATAAGATGAGATATATGAGGAATGCAAGGGTGAGCCTAAATATTATAACTACAAAAGAATAATGAAGCACAAGAAAAAGTGTCCATTTTATATTTACTACTGTCCAAATCAATGCAGTTAGATCCCTTTTAGAACAAGAGATATGTTCGCTCATTTGCAAGGAAAATGCCCCAATTAAATTTCTCAATGTCTTGATTGTGGTGAAAATAATGCTATCAAATTCTTAAAGCTTCATGATTGTGTCAAAAATTTATTGGAAAAAAATTAAAAAATAAGCCAATTGCTTGAATTATTCCAAAGTAAGGAAAATGAATTGCAAGAATAAGTCTAAAGTTCAAATTTAAATAAAATAACATCAGCTTTTGAAAATTGGTTTCCACTATCAAATAGTTTAACATAAAACTTAATAAATAATAAGGAATGCTTTTATAGACCAAAACAGTTTAATAGAGATTCAATTTACGACTCAGAATTGAGAGATTATTAGAATTAATAAGATCAATAAGATGGCGATGAATTTTAAAAATTGAAAATGAGCTCATAGCAAAAGTATTAAGCTGGATTTTGGGATTACTATGATTCAAGAAAGGAGAGAAAATAATATATTCATGGTGGAATAGCATTAAGCGAATATTCATCGGGTGGAAAAAATGATAAAAGAAAGCAAAAGAGACTTAGATAAAGTGAATTTATTAGAAACTACAAGTCTTGATATTAGAAGAATAAGCAAAATCAATTAGATTCAATATCTGATTTATTAATTTTAAGTAAAAATTTAAAGTTGAATATTTAACAAAGTTGTATTTGATCATAAATAAATTCAACATTTTGGGGTTTTGGGGTTTTGGGG